CGATTCCCTTCCATTAGGGTCGTATTTCCAGTGCTTGAAATCATACTCATATCCTGACTTGAGCATCGAGTAGAGTTCTGGAATACGAACCTAAGTCTAGATGCTCTCTCTAATGAGCTATTAATACTTAAATATATATATTTTCGAGTAGTATTTCCTTTATTAGAACTAAGTATGTATTAGAGTACCTGTAATCGACGAGCGTGTACGAAAGCATTGATGCGTGTATGGTCATGACTCTTGTGGACTTTGCCCACCTGGATGAGAAAAGGGCGTGAAGTATTTGAATATAATATTTGTGTAAAAAATAACCATATTGAATTGTAGAATTCTAGCACTTTATGTTTCATTTATTGTCAATCAAACAGGCAACGGTTTGTCTTATTATTTAGCTCTGTATACGACGTGTATCAGTGGGACATATTTATTATTTATTTTTGGAACAAATATATCTTGAGTAACAGGTGAAAATGCTCTAATTACAAATCTCCACAAGTAGCACGAAAAATAAGTTATTAAGTTTTTAGTCAGCAGAAACTAAAACATAAATAAGTATGTATACATATACATAAATAAGTTGATATAACATGGCGTACATGTAAATAATCTTTTTATATAGAAACAATTGATGCATCGCGATTAAGGTAGTTTTTTTAAATAGTAATCGTAGTAGTAGCACACTATTATTTTCTGTTGACGGACAGAATGCTGGGCTTTGTACTTTGGAGTTGGAGCCTGTGTTTTCCGTAAGTCACAATGAGTTGAATGGAAATCTTACGAGTAAAGCCCGGCGAATTTTCAAGTGTACCTATACGTTTCAAGTGTACCTATGTACTATGTATACCTACATTTCACGATCAAAGTTTTTACATACTCCCACGTCTGCAAAATTTAATCTATGTCCAGTAGCCGTGAAACTCGTAGGCCTTCAGGGCGAGCGCGGACGGTCGACGACTTTATCGTTCGGCGATGATAACGCCGCGGCCGAATATCTGCACTAGACATGTTAATCAAAACGACCGCGCCGTGTACAGATGACCTTATCTTACTTTTGGCTGCATTTCTAATTTATGGATGTTTAATATTTACAAGAGTAATCAAATTGTGCCGAATTTTAACCTTCCTCTACTTATTTATATGTTTTGATACGTCCCGCTAGTCGTTTGATGAATATTTGTTGGCGTCTAGAAACTTTTTTACAATCAATCAACTTTTTTACCGACAGTCGACTATCTGGAAATATTTTTTTAAATTGTAATGAATACTTTAAAAATATTTCATAATAGCCATTGCGCATCTTAGAGATAATACTAGAATACCGTTCGAGTTCTTAGGTTTTCGCGATTGTTACACATTGGAAATGAAACTATTTTATATTAAATATACGCGATTTAAATCCGGAAAAATAGTTTCATTTCCTAGAATACCGTTATCAACAAGGTATAAGCTTTTTCAGTTAAACACTTATTCATTTAATGCATTTTTTAAATTATAAGCCGATTTGAAGAATTTGCCCAATTTATAGATACAAAAAAATCTGTCACCATTTAGGGCACTTTGCCGAAGTTACCCAATTTCATCCTAAATGGATCTAAGCTTGGTCCTAAGTATTTAATAGTATTATAAGTAATTAGATTTACTTTTAATTGTATAGAATCATATTTTAAAAAATAGCAAGACAAGAGAAGAAAGCTGCCATCGTTTTGGTCACTTTGCCGTGGGCACCCGATTTTATTCTAAATGGATCTAAGCTTAGTCATTTTAGTACCCATTAGGACCTGTTTAATTTTTTAATTCATACTAGTTTTTAATAAACCTCTTAGTTGCAACATTAATTTCTTTAACCTATGAATCCAGAGAATTTTTTTTATTCTTTTCGTGTTATATTTTATATTATATTTTTAGGAATATATATATGCTACGATACAAAGTAACAGGACAAACAAATGCCTTGTAGGGTACGACTTGTTTGCCACACATGCGACTCAGAGCTTTAAATCACAAAGATGGACTGAGGGGCACTACCGCTGCGCCTGTCACATAAGTTGACAAGTCCCATGTGGCTTCACCCTTCATTTCACTGGCATCCTTTCCCTTCAAAACCGAAACGCTGTAATGCTCGCATTATTGTTTGGCGGCAAAAATAGGTAAGGTGGCAGTACTTTCCTGGACGAACTCATTCTCAACTAGGTCTACTGCTACTTTATAAAATTGTGAAAGATTGAATGTAAGATATCACGAAGTAAGTTTTATATATAGCCTTAACACACGGTCGATTATTTTTACGATTGTTAAAAACAATCTTCGTTCATTAGCTGCATGGTTCCTCTCTTGAAAGATCTGTCGTGTTCAATTCAAGGTTGGTTGTAAAAGGGTCATTGATCATTATCCGTGACTCAATGATGCTGGATTTAAAGGGTTGTATAGATGCGCAATTATATTGTTGCTGCATCATTTCCTTTTGTATATTAAATTGCGTTGGATGACTTGCTGTGATTGTGCATCAAGTCGTAGGCTTTACGAATTTACATAATTTTGAAATGAAAGCGGAATAAAAAAAATAGAGTTAGAAGAATATAGATGCATAAATAATAAATTTAATTTCATAGTCAAATTCAAATAGTCTTTATTTCATATGTAAACAAATGACAGTTGAAATGGTAATTTTGATTAAACTCTACTGTAAGGCAGATTCCCAAGAAATTCTCAAGGTTGCTCGAGAATACCTGCAGTAGCTAACGGCTCACTATCATGTATTTTTATAATCCAAGTACGCAAAGTTGTATATAATGGTTAGTACAAAGTTTTTGTTTCACTATAGTTTTAATTTTTTTAATATCAACCGGAATTTTATTGTAGAAACGTGAACATTCCCTTTTTGTGACTTTGTGAACACGACTTCAGGAAAAGCTATCACTATTATTCATAAAAAATTATATTCTAAATTATTATAACCTTTTTACATTTAAAAATGTACATTATGACTTTATAATAATTAATTTAATGTCAATTTCATAGTACTGACAAGTAGGTTTATTATTATGATAATATAGGGGTAAGGTGCAATAAAGACTTAAATACTAGGAAGTAAAACTAGGATCGTTAACTTATATGAATATAATTGTAAAACTGTAAAACGGCAAGGTACCCAAGATTTCCCGGGCCTTGGTATGGCTATGCTAATGCGTAGGGCAAGGTAGCTGCTGGTCCTTGGGTTTCCCAGACAGCCTATTAATTTTTTAGATAAAATATTGTACAGATGACGGGCACTAGGACCCACGGGCCAAGGGTTTTGACTCCAAAAGCTGTAAATAGGTAGTCGAAGCCGAGATCCTGGTGCTTATTACTTTTTATTCTTTCCGCCAGCTCAGCTTTTATAAAAAAACCGACCTCAAAAGTTAATGGAAAGTGCGTGAAATCCAATAGATCGGATTCATCCTCCAATATTTTCTTCCAATTTGAATTGGACCACTGTCCTCTTTCTAACAAAAAAACAATAATCGAAATCTGTTCCCAAACGGAGTAATCGCGAAACATAAAAAAAACAATCGTATTGGGAACCTCCCCCTTTTTCTACACATAAAACCTATATGAAAAGAAATATAATAAATATCTACTCAATTATACTTTTCAACAATAAGACAACGAAAAATGTAATATCGTGCCGATGTTACGAAGCTATTATGCTAGAGACGTGTCTTTTCTACGGCCGATCTCAAGAAAACACTTTCGCTGTTATCTACGGGTGATAAACCCGTTCAGAACATAATCTTATATACATTCATATCCTCACTATTGAATACCAAAATATACCAGTCAAGTAGCACTCGTAAAAGTCGATGTTTTTACATATGGTTACTTCGGGGAAGAAAGGGCGTAAATACCAAACTACAACGTTTACTCTTTGGTGATTAACTTAATTTTGAATTGACGGACAGTAAGAGCATACAAATTGAACCCTACCTCATAAACAACTTATTTTTCATATTCCTTTTACGCGCTTTCTTCTCTGAAGCATCGATATGACATATGTTGGCACTTAACTACTTATATAAATAAATTGAATTTACACGGCCATGGATAGGATTGTGAAGCATGATTCAGGAGAAAAATATTCCCACAAATTGTTCTTTATATGGGCGTTGCCTTTACAAGGCAAAATTCAACGTCGTTAACATTTTTAGTGTTTTTTTTTTCAACGACAATTTCATGACGTCAAGTTAATACGAACGTATTAAATTAAATTAATACACTGTCTGAGAAACCCTTGGGCAGCTACCTTGCCCAACGCATTAGCATAGCGTTACAAAGGGGGAACGCTGCCTGCATCTTGGGCACCTGTCGCGGGGACCCTATTTTATTCATATTATTTAATCCTAGTTCTACTTTCTAGTATTTAAGCTTTTATTTTATCTTACCTGTACATTACGAACGCATTAATAATTAGAATATACACTACAAATAATCAAATCTAGAAATAAATGTACCATTGATATATTATAGCCACATGTAAGCATTACGTCAAAAGTGCTTTTTATCACATGAAAGTAGTTCGTATTATTCTTATAATAACACGAAGTACATAAAACAAATTATGGATAAGTGAAATTTTAAAACACTCGTATATAAGCGTAAAGTAGTTACCGACGAATTTCGTTAGTAGAATCGTTTAACCTCTCTCTTGAAGTGTGTAGCCTTATTAAGGATGCGGTATCAAACAACAAATCCATAAACAACATTGTAGCTTTATGTTGTTGGGTTTTTAACGAAAACTCAATCTGATTATGGTGACTGCATATACTTCATTGCAACTTGTTTGTAGTGTAATTGTTTGTTATGTACGATGTTGGATCAGGATGCATTTATTTGTTTGGATAGAAGAGGTTGCAACCCCTGCGGCGGCATGCGTTCGCTTGCGCTGCGGCTGCGCGGGCAGCGACGTCGGTTTTCACCGTCCGCTGCGACGCGTACGCCTACCCGATATAAAAGCCTCAGTCGCCCATTCACCCGCTCGCAGTGTGTGCTCGAACGTTACAGTGTCCACTCCTCCTGTGCAAGGACTTACAGTTTACCATGAATTCACGGTGTTTAATAGTGCTAGCTGCCGCCCTCGGCGTGGGTACGTAAAATTTGAACTATTTAGGGTGCGCCGAGTGTCCAGTGACAGAGGAATACTCTATCAGTTGATATCGATCGAATCGCCATTAAAGTTTCATTTCGATCGTGAAAGCTGAAGTGTGATCGTTATCACCGTTTCCACACAACGCGGTTGCAATTGCGCGAGCGCAATAAGTGTTGAGAGAAGAGAAATTGCAGTTGATGTGGTGTAACGATCGATTTGGTGCGGTCGGGTTCACACTTTTCTCATACTTGTTATCTAGGGGTGCTACTTTCTCATGACAATATCCACCAATCATATCAATAACAGGGGTGTTATGCAGTGCCGAGAGGTCGTAAATTACTTCAATAATAAGTACTCAACAGCAAATACAGAGAACAAGGTGCGAAACTGGCACCCATTCGTTTTGTTGAGACTAGATCTTTCCTTCCGCACAAATAGAAAGGTGTTGTGGTTGAATTACCATAAACATTAGCCATTGCATTTATTTAAGATTTAGTTCAAAAACGGGTAATTTAATTAATTAAGTAGCCATTGGCCTAGTTGATTAATTACACAACCTGAGACGTAGAGGTTGTTAAAATTACAATAGAATTTAATGGGAATGTCGCTTTACGATTAGAAAGAGAGTGAAAAAATTAATTGGAATTGATACTTTTTATTCACCAAGCCACAGTAAATTTTAATTTTATTCTTGTTTATTGTAAGAAATGTGAAAGTTTTATTGGTAATATGGATACCAAGTTTAAAAATAATGGATTTTACGTAATTATTTAATCATTTCGTTATTGTATGCAAATGATTAAAAAAGCAAATTGACATAATTGTCAATTTAGGAAATTCTCTTTCCGTTTTGAAAATGATCATCTTATGCTAGTCAAAACGTCCTTTAACAGTGGCATGCATTTTCCAAAAAAAAAAAAAATTATCGGCAGTATTTTGCAATAATCACGTTTTTATACATACCTGTGCTAATTAGTTGCCCAATAATCCAAATGTTACGATTTACATATATTTTTCGTAACTTCAACCTTATTACTTGAGGCTATTCTAAAACCAATACGTGTTAATGAAGTAATATACACTAAATATACACTAATGTTTCATCATACGTTGTTACAAATTGAATATTTTTTTATTCTTAACTTCTAACAAGGCCTTTAACACTATACTCTATGGTGTTTATAAAAATGAATATAAATTACAAAAAGTTAAAAAAATTTGCATTTTTTAAACATTTTGATGATTTCGTAAATTTAAGAAAATATTACTACACTGGCAGGTTTGTAACACATATATTTATGTATTTATTTATTAAGCCTTTTTAGTTGAGTCCCGGTTCCCTCCTAGGGTCCCGTGTATATCAAAATGTATATAAAATGTGAAGTGATTCACATCCAGACAATAATATTCCTAAGATCTCGTAAACTTCTATTGTACATTATAATGAAAATATCGCATTCAAATTTAGCGCCATAAATCCCACATGACAACAGGGTATCTAGAAAACATGACTTACTTGCTTGGGCCTGAAGCACGTAATTAGTATTATATTTAGTCGTAGCATATTTTAACGTACCCTGGGCGTTTAGCCCTTTTCGCATTGCAGTTTGCTGGGTCTTAGGAAGCTTTAGTATATCTCTTAACACAGCGTGGCTTTTGGCATAAGCCTTCTTCAATCATTCCTGTGAGTTCTAACAAGAGTCCAACTATTCAGTAGGGACCTGTAGTTAGCTCTAGCTTATCTTTTAGGGGGGATATAGGAGGCGTCAGTAGATACTGACGCCTCCTATTGCATTTCCCATCACGTGTTTACCAGTTTGTGCCTATTGCGCCTCATTTATCCGGCCCACATATGCTCATTTTATTAGCAGTAGAGCACTTTGTGAAATAGTTCGTTCAGGGAAGTGCTGTCACCTTACCTATTTCTGCCGCCAAGCAGTAACGTCAGCATTACTGCGTTCCACTTTAGAAAGGTAAGGGCACTGGTGATTTACAGGCACATGGGGCTTGTCAACTTATGTCTCAGAGTGACGGGCGCAGTGGCAGTGTCTTTAAGATCTTTGCGATTTAAAGCTCTATGTGGCACTGCAGTTGTTATGGGTAGGCGTGTCGCTTATCACCAGGCGCACGACTTGGTCGTCCCGTCACATGCAAATCGCAAGGATCTGAGAGGCAACGCCACTGCGCCCGTCACTCTGAGACATAAGTTGAGAAGTACCATCTACGTGTAATTTCATCACCACTCTAGCCCATCAAAACCGAAACGCAGTAATGCTCACATTACTGCTTGGCAGCAGTAATAGTTAAGTTGGTAGTACTTCCCTGCACGAACACTTTCACAAGAAGCTCTACTGTTACTACTCTTCTCTCTAAAAACTCTACAAACTATTCATATCCTATTTTAATCAAATTCTTCGTAAGGCATTGCAATTCCTAATAAACCTCGTAATATATACGATATATATATATATATATATATATATATATGATTCCCGTACAATAGTTTCCTTTCCAAGTTGATTTCCAATTGTCATCACATCACGACATCCTGGAGTAATTGATCGATGGACAGGAAGGCAACACGGCAAATGACAATAATCGCTCGACTACTATGGAGCTATAAAATTAGCAATGCTAAAGAAAGCATGCACTCCTTATTGAAAGCCTAACTTTCTATCGTAAATTGTTCGTTTCAAAGGCAATTTACTAAAGTCAAGGCTCATTGAACATGTAATTCTATAAAGTTAGGCGTCGTATCTATTCCGATTTTATACTTTGGTCTATAGCATGATACGTATACATACTCGTAGTGTAACAAATTGGTTGTACTATATAGCTTATATTTGTAGTACTTACTGGTAACTAAAAATTAATAAAAAATATCGCAAAAATAAAATCACGTTTGAATATAATTTTTACAAAGTAATGTTAGTAACGTCGAAGGTGTTTTAAATCTTGCAAAATGTACAGAAAACGACTATATTACTCACTAATTTTAATTTGATGGATGCACCTTTTTCTGTGTATTTGTTTGCAGCTTTTCTGCTAACTTTAACACACTTTCGTAGCGAAAATGGTAATTCTTCCTGTCTTAGTATTGATAGAAAACACTCGCGTTTCTGCACTAAAAACAAATTATCATCAGATTTTGTAATCAGCTGCAGCTGGCAGGAAGTTTATTTGTTTCTAAATGTAGAAGTCATAACATATTACACATACATTACATGTTTATAAGAGAAACAGCAGAAAAGCTGTAAATTTATACACAGCAAGAATTGGATATTGACAAATGGAGACTTAATGATGGTGCGAATGCACTGTTTTTAGATAGTTACTTATAATTTTCATTTTGGTTAAGGCCATTCAAAGTATCGTCCACTTCGTGCAGCGTGACTTATGACATTGTTTAGGATTTTCTACACGTACCCAGTTCTCACGGGTCGCTTTGCGTAACACTAACATTTTCTTTAACCTAAAACGATGGGAATTTTAATTATTTACACCTGATGGTAAAATTTATCTATTGTTGTAAGTGTAATGTTTATTTATTTTTATGCTGGAATTATCGCTTCATCAAATTTCTTTAAGAATTAAAATTATTACAATTGCAATGTCGATAAGAAGATTGTTCGTATCTTCATTTCAATCAAATATTCATAAAGTTATTAAGGCAAGCGTGAAGGTATCCAATTAAATCGTTCTCGTAGTGCGTGCTGGAATCTGTAGAGAAGAAAATGGGTGAAAATTATTCAGTTGCTTGAGTGCGCAGTGAATATGACGGGCTGATGACCATCTCTCATAATTGTGTGATGAACACGAGTTTATTACGATAATGGTCGGTGTTAAACGTCGTAATTGTTATCCACAAGATTCCTATGATACGTAAGAGGCAATTACATGAAAAACGTGAGATTAAGGGTTTATTGTTCATGAACAATATACATTTTCATGCCTACATATGGACAAGTGAGAACATGTTGACAATAGTAAAATAATTGCAAATGTCTGCAAAAAACTGGTATAAAAATGAAAGTTGTCAAGAAAAAAACTTTGAGTCAAAAATAACAGAAAATCGTTATTTAAACAAGTGTTATTTAAAACTGGCGCAAGTTACGATCGATGACATAATAAGAGCTCGAGATACAAAAGTGAAAAATAATATAGAGTAAGAGTGTTAAACGAATCGAGACACAAACGAGATCGAGCTATTTAGTTAAGCACCTACTAAGTAATTTGCTGCTCTCTCTAATTGAACGTAAGTGGATGATTGCGGAGTGACTGCCCGATCCATTAAGTGTGACATGTAATTGATTGGGAATAGAAAATGAATAAAAGCATAGACTGCAAGGTTCTAAATAAAGAGATTGTTCGAGATAGATACGTTTATATAAATATTCGGGATTGTTCACTCATAACTTAACACACGTTACCAAAATTCATTTTATAAAGCATTACTGATCTCGCTTTTTTGTTCGAGAAAGTATTCTAATGTAGTTACGTAAATTGCATTAAAATGCTTTATTTTTATGGGACAACACTCTACGCTTGTAAGAAACTGTTTTAAATTCGGAATACATGTCGGGTTATCTAACAAAAGGTCTTCTTCTGATGTAAGAGGTCACTGTCTTGCCGGAAGTCGACTTGTAATTAACAATTCAATAAGACAATGCAACGGAAATAGAATTTTTTAACATTCCCTTCGATGATATCTAACAAGTTTGAGGCTAATACAAGATATCTAAAGGCTATCTTTGTTGAGTCTGTGTTTCATACACTTGGCTGTTTATGCCATATCATAGAGAAGTTCTTTTTGGTTTTCGACTTATACAATACGATACTATTTTTTTAAGAAATATCGTACAAAGTACGTTATGTATTGAGTGCAATAAAATTCCAAGCGTTGTCAAACTTTTCCAACAATTATTCATCATTATGTCGTGCGTTTAACGGTTTCACGCTTGTAGCACGTATTTGTCGTAAAGCTATCGGCTTAACAC